ACTTTTTCGGGAGCCCTTGATGCTCTTATTCGAGACCCAGCACCTTATTACACTGTCGCTAGAAGTCTTTAACAAAACAAATTATAAAAAACGTACACTTGTTCATTCAGAGCAGAAATGTCTGCAACTAATGTATTAGAAATGTCAAGTAGCTTCAAGTTAGGAAGTTCGCGAACAACTTTCAAAGCCGCCTGGCACACCGGACGTCCTGCAAGCGAAAGGCTTTCCAATGCAGAGAATTGTGCCAGCTGAAAGAAGAACATCTGACGAAAAAGCACTAAAGACATGTAAACCCACTCTCGAAATAAGCTTACCCTGGAGAAGTTAGTCATTTTGTCATGCCCACCAATGTTAAGATAGCGGAGTGACCTCAACGTAGCTTCACTGACGCATTCATGGATAAACTCTCCCACATCAAAAGTCGAGGAATCTAAATAATAACTTGAAAACTTACAGTTCAACAGCAACCTTCTCAAGAAAGAAAAACATTTGCACACCTGATGGTCCTGCATCTGAAATCGAAAGTGACTCCAAATCGAACTGCGCCAAGAGTGATAGTACAACGTAAGGGAAGTGTCCACATTGTGATAAGTCAATCTAAACAACGCGACAATTAGATGCAGCCCACAACGAATAATTGAAAAAGGATAAATTTTTCAGATTCCACAGAATTAGAACCTTCTTTCGGAATGTCGGAAAATAACGCTTTACCTAGCAAAGAAATGAAAGAGGACAGATCTGATCGAAACAACTGCGCACTGCATAGCAATGTTTGCGAAAATGTGTAGGGAAACTACGGACCATGACAGATACTCTTCTACATTTTATGCAAAGCCACCATGGAATGGTGGACCGAAGCTTCGAATGGTCTGTGGTCGAATTCGCGGCGGAGGTGGTGTAGCGGCAAATTGTACCGCTTATCACGCACGCTGTTCATCAAATCACAGAGCCACTTTGTGGACCAAACAAGCTTTACCCATATTGTAAGGTTGGTTATTTGGTACGAAACTTTCAAGAGGGTATGAGGGCAGAAATACTCAATGCATCTGCGTCTGGCTTCCTAAAGTCGAAACACAGGCCAGAGGCATTCAAAAAGAATACTACAATACTTGATGGAATTGGAACGCCTGGCGCATCCCGGAAAAAAAAACGCGGCAAGCTTGTCTTCTACTCTGTCAGTAGAAAGAAGCCACAAAAGGAGAGCTCTGCAGTTTCTTCGCAACGACTAACGTGTTTAATCTATGCCCAGACATGTCTTGCCATCAAGAATGATGGGTAGTCGGACTAAAATACGAAAGAGGAAGTGGCAATGGACTCAAAAGTAAAGAAAGAAGGAGAAAAAGTACCCCGGGTGTCGGAGGAAAGCCCCCTGCCACCCTGAGAGATCGTCAAAGCCTATCCGGATAGGCTTTGACGATTTCCCACTTGTTGGTACCACAACGGCATCAACTGTTTATAACCTTATAACCTCGCTGTCACCATCCGGAATAGAAAGAGCAGCAGGCAAATAATCGCACCACCAGAGTGCTGCAAAGCGTTGTGTAATGGGTGGAGCACCGGCACCGCTAGCAGTGCCTGGCATCCTTATTACCTTTTGTTGAGCCAAAAACGCAGTACACTCTCGGTGCTTGCGAGCAGGCCTACCTTGCCCAGGAAAGCGTGTGCGCGTTAAGTGAGAGTGCAAACAATAAATAGAATGAGACAACCTATTCCATAAGTTTTTCCCTCGCGACTGAGTAGCTCGACATCTCTTGACAAGAGCAGTTGCAGTCTGTGCCCTCATAAAGCCATATCCCTTGTCTTCCCAGATGAGCGCCAGTCGATAATAGGAGGGAGTTCTTGCCACTAACTACCGCGGTTTACTCTTTATATGAAGGAAACTAATGTTTCACTCACCTTGGTTATATTTAGCTTAAGATCAGCAAGGCACTGCAATCCTTTTTCATCTAGAAGGTCCAATTGACGCATAGCATCCACGATTAAGTTTCCAAAATGGGCAGGCAATGATGAGCCGATTGGTGGGACCCGATCTGAACAAAGAATAGAATACGCTTGCTGAGAAACTGCTGGTAACTGAGGAAAATCAGTGAAGTGGGCCAGACATACCATCTCCAATTAGACAGGCTATACGAAGAGCGCTCGCCTCCAGCAATGACTTCGGCGAGCACTCTGCATAGACATCCACAGGCATCACTGAAATCAGTTTGATTGACAAGGATTTCTTTAGCTCAGCCTGGCGCAGAACGTCGACTAAAATTTTGACGAGTCAATAACGTAGAAAGGAGCAGTTAGGCGACCGGGGGGGGGGGGGGGGAAGGGCTTTGCCCTTCTGTTGCTTTACATGGACGCGTCGACCCATCTAGAGAGCTATTTTACGGGCCCACACGAGTTGACAGGTTTTACCATGATGGCTAGACGCTTGCTCCAGCTTCACAAGAGTTCACAGGTTTCACCAGAGTGAGACTTGTAAACCAGGAACTAGTGAAGCAACGAAAGTGCAAAATGCCCCTGTCACCGAACCGCGCCCGTGGAAATTTTAGCAAGCATAAGCAACCAACAACGAAACTATTAAAGTATTGATGAGTGAAGTGGAAGCAATAGGAAGAAGCTTTTAAAGAAATAAACTGAACAAGCTGACAGAAAGGAACCAGAAGTACAAATAACTCAACAAGACCAGTCCATGTTGTTAAAGAACGATTGCAAAGATGAACTTTAGACGAACCGAGTGAATTTATCCTCGGTAACTAATCAGACCCGACCGTAAACTTTTATCGAGGGTGCTTTACTGCAATCCCCCCACAGTGTGTGTAAAACCCATGACATTAGAACCCCTGGCGAAATAAGCATTATTATCTGGAATGAAAAAGAGATAGATCTGCACGTAAAATACAGAATAACACCTCACCAACATCGACAAAACTACGTAAACTGATTTGCGAACGATGGTCGGCGAAGTTCGTGAGCGCTATTGATCTGACCGCAATTACACACAAACCACTGAACACCCTTACAGTAACCTAGTGGCACCACGAGGGAAACCAATGGACTGCTATAGGCTTAAAAATTTGTACGTTCTAATGAGGCGGACCACAATCCATCCTCCGGAAAGGTTTTATAGATTGTAGTAATACCGCGTGACCCGGTACACGTCAGAAAAGCGGCATGACAGCTGTTGTGATGATCAGAGCTGTAAACATTGGACTGAACATAAAAAGATAAGCTTTACTGCCTAAAGATATCGAGATCACATGCTCTTTAATGCCTTTGACTGCTACGAGTACCGTAAAGGTTCACCACGCACGAACGACTCATTGGGTCATACGAAAAAATGCTTGCGAAATTAAACCTATTATTAACTGTTATAGAGCTCCCTGGGAGGTGATCCGGGAGGTGATGCTATCAACTGTTATAAAGACCCCTTTGTGACCAAGGAAGTTAACCGAGTGACGCTTTAGAATGCTTCATGACTGCACCTTGTCCTGAATGACGTTTCGCTGCCACGTCCGGACCGCGCGACACACATGGTGATTCACAAATATTCTCTTTGCGGTTTATTACATGGCATCTATTTCATATTCTAAAGTTACCAGTTAAGTAACACATCTCACGTGTGGGTACAGTTGAAAAAGAAACATGAAATCACTGACTGTCGATGTAAAAAGTGACGAAATGCTGCGGAGATAGTGAACCACGGCTCGAGATGTGTTAAATCAATCTTCAGTAAACACTCGAAATCCCTGAGATGCGGTAGGCGTGACTGCGTACTTCAACTAAACGTGGCGATGACTGTGCTTTTAGTGAGATACTTTCATTTTGCATGTCTTTGCCCAATAGAGAACAAGATGACAGATGCCTCGAAGTGATCTCAGGAGTAGCCCATTCTGTGCCATGTTCAAATGCCACGCCTACTCTGTCTCAGGGTTAAGGAGCGTAATGAGCGCCAGTGACAGAAGAAATCCCTTCCAGAACAGCTTACATTCTCTTGATCACAATGTTACAGTTGCACCATCCAATTTCAGTAGTAAAGCAAGATTCCAAGCCCTTTCTGACTTCAACTTTGATTACCTCATGTTACGAAGTATAGCAACGAGTACTGCGCAGGCATCCACACCTCATGAGCTGCAGCACTGTTGCACTCAAGGAGCCCGGATTAGAGCGTGTTCATACTTCGCTACTTGAGAGATCACTGTTTATAGTGTTTCAGTATAGTACTGAAACACTTACTAACATGCCGAGGTTGCAAGAAGAGAGAAGCTGGAGATTACTGTTTATAGTAAAAGCCGCATCGTTGCAGTCGTGGTATTGCTGTGCTTTGCCATGGGTCAACTTAGCTTTTCAGTGCGTGGTGAGACAACGAAGGCAAAGATCGACGAACCGACAGCATGTCTTAACTGGGAGACGGGCAAGAGAATCGTAAATAGCCGCATCGTCGCGCGCGACAATGGACGCGACGTTTCCCTAATCAGCACTCGACTGGAGCATCGAATTCCATGTAGACAAGAACATGGTAGACACCTATGTCTATTTTTAGTCATACATTGTCTATTCTCGACCAATACCACCTAAAATCGTCGTCATTAGCGGGCGCGACGTCGCGACGCCTACTGGCGCGGCGAATTACGATTCTCTTGCCACATACCCGTCTGAACTCCGTTCCATCTACAGATGGCGAGGAAAAAGCACATGTGAAACAGGAAAAATTGCGAAAAATCAACAACGGTGCAAATTCTCTCATAAGGCAAATA